GATACCAGATTTACAACTTACAGTGACCAACCTTACGATACCAGATTTACAACTTACAGTGACCAACCTTACGATACCAGATTTACAACTTACAGTGACCAACCTTACGATACCAGATTTACAACTTACAGTGACCAACCTTACGATACCAGATTTACAACTTACAGTGACCAACCTTACGATACCAGATTTACAACTTACAGTGACCAACCTTACGATACCAGATTTACAACTTACAGTGACCAACCTTACGATACCAGATTTACAACTTACAGTGACCAACCTTACGATACCAGATTTACAACTTACAGTGACCAACCTTACGATACCAGATTTACAACTTACAGTGACCAACCTTACGATACCAGATTTACAACTTACAGTGACCAACCTTACGATACCAGATTTACAACTTACAGTGACCAACCTTACGATACCAGATTTACAACTTACAGTGACCAACCTTACGATACCAGATTTACAACTTACAGTGACCAACCTTACGATACCAGATTTACAACTTACAGTGACCAACCTTACGATACCAGATTTACAACTTACAGTGACCAACCTTACGATACCAGATTTACAACTTACAGTGACCAACCTTACGATACCAGATTTACAACTTACAGTGACCAACCTTACGATACCAGATTTACAACTTACAGTGACCAACCTTACGATACCAGATTTACAACTTACAGTGACCAACCTTACGATACCAGATTTACAACTTACAGTGACCAACCTTACGATACCAGATTTACAACTTACAGTGACCAACCTTACGATACCAGATTTACAACTTACAGTGACCAACCTTACGATACCAGATTTACAACTTACAGTGACCAACCTTACGATACCAGATTTACAACTTACAGTGACCAACCTTACGATACCAGATTTACAACTTACAGTGACCAACCTTACGATACCAGATTTACAACTTACAGTGACCAACCTTACGATACCAGATTTACAACTTACAGTGACCAACCTTACGATACCAGATTTACAACTTACAGTGACCAACCTTACGATACCAGATTTACAACTTACAGTGACCAACCTTACGATACCAGATTTACAACTTACAGTGACCAACCTTACGATACCAGATTTACAACTTACAGTGACCAACCTTACGATACCAGATTTACAACTTACAGTGACCAACCTTACGATACCAGATTTACAACTTACAGTGACCAACCTTACGATACCAGATTTACAACTTACAGTGACCAACCTTACGATACCAGATTTACAACTTACAGTGACCAACCTTACGATACCAGATTTACAACTTACAGTGACCAACCTTACGATACCAGATTTACAACTTACAGTGACCAACCTTACGATACCAGATTTACAACTTACAGTGACCAACCTTACGATACCAGATTTACAACTTACAGTGACCAACCTTACGATACCAGATTTACAACTTACAGTGACCAACCTTACGATACCAGATTTACAACTTACAGTGACCAACCTTACGATACCAGATTTACAACTTACAGTGACCAACCTTACGATACCAGATTTACAACTTACAGTGACCAACCTTACGATACCAGATTTACAACTTACAGTGACCAACCTTACGATACCAGATTTACAACTTACAGTGACCAACCTTACGATACCAGATTTACAACTTACAGTGACCAACCTTACGATACCAGATTTACAACTTACAGTGACCAACCTTACGATACCAGATTTACAACTTACAGTGACCAACCTTACGATACCAGATTTACAACTTACAGTGACCAACCTTACGATACCAGATTTACAACTTACAGTGACCAACCTTACGATACCAGATTTACAACTTACAGTGACCAACCTTACGATACCAGATTTACAACTTACAGTGACCAACCTTACGATACCAGATTTACAACTTACAGTGACCAACCTTACGATACCAGATTTACAACTTACAGTGACCAACCTTACGATACCAGATTTACAACTTACAGTGACCAACCTTACGATACCAGATTTACAACTTACAGTGACCAACCTTACGATACCAGATTTACAACTTACAGTGACCAACCTTACGATACCAGATTTACAACTTACAGTGACCAACCTTACGATACCAGATTTACAACTTACAGTGACCAACCTTACGATACCAGATTTACAACTTACAGTGACCAACCTTACGATACCAGATTTACAACTTACAGTGACCAACCTTACGATACCAGATTTACAACTTACAGTGACCAACCTTACGATACCAGATTTACAACTTACAGTGACCAACCTTACGATACCAGATTTACAACTTACAGTGACCAACCTTACGATACCAGATTTACAACTTACAGTGACCAACCTTACGATACCAGATTTACAACTTACAGTGACCAACCTTACGATACCAGATTTACAACTTACAGTGACCAACCTTACGATACCAGATTTACAACTTACAGTGACCAACCTTACGATACCAGATTTACAACTTACAGTGACCAACCTTACGATACCAGATTTACAACTTACAGTGACCAACCTTACGATACCAGATTTACAACTTACAGTGACCAACCTTACGATACCAGATTTACAACTTACAGTGACCAACCTTACGATACCAGATTTACAACTTACAGTGACCAACCTTACGATACCAGATTTACAACTTACAGTGACCAACCTTACGATACCAGATTTACAACTTACAGTGACCAACCTTACGATACCAGATTTACAACTTACAGTGACCAACCTTACGATACCAGATTTACAACTTACAGTGACCAACCTTACGATACCAGATTTACAACTTACAGTGACCAACCTTACGATACCAGATTTACAACTTACAGTGACCAACCTTACGATACCAGATTTACAACTTACAGTGACCAACCTTACGATACCAGATTTACAACTTACAGTGACCAACCTTACGATACCAGATTTACAACTTACAGTGACCAACCTTACGATACCAGATTTACAACTTACAGTGACCAACCTTACGATACCAGATTTACAACTTACAGTGACCAACCTTACGATACCAGATTTACAACTTACAGTGACCAACCTTACGATACCAGATTTACAACTTACAGTGACCAACCTTACGATACCAGATTTACAACTTACAGTGACCAACCTTACGATACCAGATTTACAACTTACAGTGACCAACCTTACGATACCAGATTTACAACTTACAGTGACCAACCTTACGATACCAGATTTACAACTTACAGTGACCAACCTTACGATACCAGATTTACAACTTACAGTGACCAACCTTACGATACCAGATTTACAACTTACAGTGACCAACCTTACGATACCAGATTTACAACTTACAGTGACCAACCTTACGATACCAGATTTACAACTTACAGTGACCAACCTTACGATACCAGATTTACAACTTACAGTGACCAACCTTACGATACCAGATTTACAACTTACAGTGACCAACCTTACGATACCAGATTTACAACTTACAGTGACCAACCTTACGATACCAGATTTACAACTTACAGTGACCAACCTTACGATACCAGATTTACAACTTACAGTGACCAACCTTACGATACCAGATTTACAACTTACAGTGACCAACCTTACGATACCAGATTTACAACTTACAGTGACCAACCTTACGATACCAGATTTACAACTTACAGTGACCAACCTTACGATACCAGATTTACAACTTACAGTGACCAACCTTACGATACCAGATTTACAACTTACAGTGACCAACCTTACGATACCAGATTTACAACTTACAGTGACCAACCTTACGATACCAGATTTACAACTTACAGTGACCAACCTTACGATACCAGATTTACAACTTACAGTGACCAACCTTACGATACCAGATTTACAACTTACAGTGACCAACCTTACGATACCAGATTTACAACTTACAGTGACCAACCTTACGATACCAGATTTACAACTTACAGTGACCAACCTTACGATACCAGATTTACAACTTACAGTGACCAACCTTACGATACCAGATTTACAACTTACAGTGACCGACCTTACGATACCAGATTTACAATGACAGTGACCAACCTTACGATACCAGATTCACAACGTACAATGACCAACCTTACGATACCAGATTTACAATGACCAACCTTACGATACCAGATTTACAACGTACAGTGAGCAACCTTACGAAACCAGATTTACAGCTTATAGTGACCAACGATACCAGATTTACAAATTACAGTGACCAACCTTACGATACCAGATTTACAACGTACAGTGAGCAACCTTACGAAACCAGATTTACAGCTTATAGTGACCAACCTTACGATACCAGATTTACAACTTACAGTGACCGACTTTACGATACCAGATTTACAACGTACAGTGACCATCCTTACGATACTAGATTTACAACGTTCAGTGACCAACCTTACGATACCAGATTTACAACGTGCAGTGACCAACCTTACGATACCAGATTTACAACGTACAATGACCATCCTTACGATACTAGATTTACAACTTACAGTGACCGACCTTACGATACCAGATTTACAACGTACAGTGACCAACCTTACGAGACCAGATTTACAACGTACAGTGACCATCCTTACGATACTAGATTTACAACTTACAGTGAACGACCTTACGGTACCAGATTTACAACTTACAGTGACCGACCTTACGATACCAGATTTACAACTTACAGTGACCGACCTTACGATACAAGATTTACAACTTACAGTGACCGACCTTACGATACCAGATTTACAAAGTACAGTGACCAACCTTACGTTACCAGATTTACAACTTACAGTGACCAACCTGACGATACCAGATTTACAACTTACAGTGACCAACCTAACGATACCAGATTTACAACGTACAGTGACCAACCTTACCATACCAGATTTACAACTTACAGTGACCAACCTTACGATACCAGATTTCACGTTGTCGTTCACACCATTAACACCTTGCAGGAGTCCGACAATGGCGGGAGGCCTTTTTGCTATCAACAAGGATTTCTTCACTCACATAGGGACTTACGACTCTGGGATGGACATTTGGGGAGGAGAGAACCTAGAAATCTCGTTCAGGGTAGGTTTCAGAGCATTTACGTTTAGCACTCTTTATGTGAAGGTGCCGACAAATAGGTCTAAGCTTAAACTGATACTAAATTATAGTCTCTAAACACTTGTGTTTTACTAGTAAAATAATATTATCTAAATACTTTGTTTATAGTAGTACTTTACTAAAATCTATGAACATCCATGTTGATACTGGTACTAAGTACTGTAAACATTCTTGTTGTAGGTAGTACAAGCTTATGTTCTCTAAATACATATTAACACTGGTACTAAATTCCTTTTTTTTTTTAAATATCCATGCTTATTCCTTCCAGAACTAAAATGTCGTCTCTAAACATAAATATTGATATTGATACCCCTAAGTTATAGTCTCTAACTATTCGTTCTGTTTCTAGTACTAAAATATTAGTGTCCTAACTTCTATGTCTATACTGGTAATATGCTGTAGTAGCTTTAAGTTATTCTGGTACTATCTAAATAGCATGTTGATTTTCAGATTTGGATGTGCGGTGGGACTCTTGAGACTGCCCCCTGTTCCCATGTTGGGCATATTTTCAGGAAGAAATCTCCGTACACCTGGCCAGGGAATACTAATGTGGTGAAGAAGAATAACGTCAGGATGGCCGAGGTGTGGTTAGACGAATTTAAAGTCTACTACTATGACAGAATCAACAACGACTTGGTACGTCTGACGAGTCGCAGTATTGAACAATTCACAGCTGTTGTTGAGAAATGATGAGATATATGTTAGTTTATCGGATTAAGGTGCATGTTCATAGATGTCGGACTTGACAGTATTTTATTCTCCTATGTACCAAACTCTTCTGAACAAACGTCTTGGAACTCAAAGTACACAGTACATTTGTAGGTTACCACAATTAAGATTTCCGTGCTAATTTATTTATTTCAACTAAGTTTGCAATAATTAATTTTCCATCGCAATAGTTATTTTACAAGGGAAATTAATTAGAATATATGTTCCTGATTATAATAAGTATGGTACAAGGTGTACAACAAACATATAAACGTAATCCAAAACAGATACATGAAGGTTCCACATCGAGTAACCCTCGATATCATTTGATATCTAATTGAATTCAAATTTTGATTTAAAAAAAAAGTCCAGCGCGTTTTTATTCACCCTATTTTTTTTTAAATTAACACACGAGTGTTAAATACATATGAAAAACCGTCAGGATGTGGGGCGCTTCTTTCTGCCACAGATTTATACCAAAGTCCAGAGATCGACATTGTTACAACCGATGAAACAGATGGCGTAGTGATTTGCTTTAGAGGATTATTCCTTTAATCAATATATCAAAGTGTTCCAGCTACGTGTACATTTCTGTATCGATCTTTTATTTGATAATAACTCAAACATGTTTGCATCGCATGATTTAAATCAATTCTGCGTGATCATAAATCTGACTTTAAACAATATTTAACTATTGTGGTACTACATTGCGGAAGGATGTTCGTAATAGAGCAGCACGAAGTAATAGGGGGCCAATCTTTATACATTCGAGCCATCCGTGAGGATGTCAACCCGAACTTTTGTGTGTAACAAACATTTCTGGTATTTTATAGGTGTGTTTTATGATCGATAGGTAGAAATCTGTGTTAACGATGTCCATTAAACACACAAAATAAACGATCAGTACTTATACATGTAATGGTCGGTAAATGATGTAGGATTTTTAATTAAGTATTGTTCCGTCAATATTACAGGGATACTATGGTGACGTTTCTGAACGGAAAGCTTTAAGACGAAGGCTACAATGTCACGATTTTAAATGGTATCTTCTTAATGTGTACCCTGAACTCTTTGTGCCTGGAGAAGCACTCGCCTCAGGACAAGTAAGTAATGAGGAAAGTCTACATTTATCGAGAACTCTATTTTTCAAGAAACGATCTAGGTTCCGCCCAGAATATACAACAATGATAACTTTCTACATATGCATTGAAGTTTTGTTCCTCAGAAAAGCTGATCATCGGTCTACTTGGTTCCTAAATAATGAGTGTCCACTTAAACCCTGAACTCTCTTCTCAGACAATGCCTAGAATTGACCGGTACTTGTCGGTCCTCGGCAGTCGATTACGGTATAGATACAGACACACTGTACAACTATCTACTGTTCTGAAGTAGATGCTAGTTTCTATGCAGAAATGATGTGTATCTCATAATCTTTTACAGATAAAAAATATAAGAAAACCTTTCTGTTTGGACGCTAAAACCAATTATGGATTTAAACCAAATCCAGTTATTTCCTATCATTGTCACGGATTAGGAGGAAATCAGGTGAGTAGTGTCACAAAGTGTGGTTCGTCAGCTGTTTAGTATTACAAAGAGGTTTAAAGTAAACAGGTGTTTACTAGTAAAGTATCGAAGTAAACCGATGTAAACAAAGTAATTAGGTATTATGTTAGTAATCGGTGGTAAACAAGATAATTAGGTATTATGTTAGTAAACAGATGTAAACAAAGTAATTAGGTATTATGTTAGTAAACGGAGGTAAAAAAAAATAATGATTTGTTATGTTAGTAAACAGATGTAAACAAAGTAATTAGGTATTATGTTAGTAAACGGTGGTAAACAAGGTAATTAGGTATTGACCAACCTGACGATACCAGACATGTTAGTAAACAGTTATGTAAGTAAACGGATGTAAACAAAGTAATTAGGTATTATGTTAGTAAACGGAGGTAAACAAAATAATAATTTGTTATGTTAGTAAACAGATGTAAACAAAGTAATTAGGTATTATGTTAGTAAACTGAGGTAAACAAAGTAATAAGGTATTATGTTAGTAAACCGACGAAACAATGTAATTAGGTATTATGTTAGTAAACTGAGGTAAACAAAGTAATTATATATTATGTGAGTAAACAGACGGAACAAAGTAATTAGGTCTTTTGTTAGTAAACAGACGAAACAAAGTAATTATATATTATGTGAGTAAACAGACGAAACAAAGTAATAAGGTATTTTGTAAATAAACAGATCTAAACAAAGTAATTATATATTATGTTAGTAAACAGACGAAACAAAGTAATTAGGTATTTTGTAAATAAACAGATCTAAACAAAATAATTAGATATTATATAAGGAAACTGACGAAACAAAGTAATTAGATATTATGTTAGTAAACAGACGAAACAAAGTAATTAGGTATTATGTTAGTAAACAGACGAAACAAAGTAATAAGGTATTTTTGTAAATTAAGAGATGTAAACAAAGTAATTAGATATTATATAAGGAAACTGACGAAACAAAGTAATTAGGTTTTTGTTAGTAAACAGATGTAAACAAAGTAATAAGGTATTATGTAAATAAACAGATGTAAACAATGTAATTAGATATTATGTGAGTAAAGAGATGAAAACGAAGTAATTAGATATTATGTTAGTAAAGAGATGCAAACAAAGTAATTAGGTATTATGTGAGTGAACAGACGAAACAAAGTAATGAGATATTAGGTTAGTAAACAGACAAAAACAAGTAATTAGATATTTTGTAAATGAACAGATGTAAACAAAGTAATTAGATATTATGTAAGTAAACAGATGTTAACAAAGTAATTAAGTGTTTTGTAAGTAAACGGATGTAAACAAAGTAATTAGGTGTTATGTTAGTAAACGGAGGTAAACAAAATAATAAGTTGTTATGTTCGTAAACAGATGTTAACAAAGTAATTAGGTATTATGTTCGTAAACAGATGCTAAGTGTTCACAGTAGCTAGGTTAGTCCGAATTATTCTGACTTTTTATCGACTTTTTATATCGGTCTGTCGTCGATTAACGTCAGAACTCCGGCCCTCTATAATATGCGGGAAATAACGACCTGCGCCAGGGTCGCTCTACAAATTGATATTTTAGAAACAAATCGTCACTTTCACACACATGTCGCACATTTATCGAAAGATCTTTTTTTATGCTCTTGATGAACATACATAAAATGCCTCAAACAACCAATACAATCACTACTAAAATCATTTTTTCAAACTTACTCTGTTTTACTTTACGTTTGTAACAGCCCCGCCTTCTAATGCCACGTGACTAAAATATCGACGGCCTACGTCATAACGTTGGGAAATACCTTCGGTAACGCGAGATCTCGTCAAGTCATGTGACATGGCTCATGCCCTAATTCCATTAAAAACATTGGTTTGTATAGAAAACGTTGGAAAATACTTATTCGTAATGATATTTGAAACATTTCATTGATACCACGTAGTGCATAAAGAATAGATCTTTCGATCCATGATTTGTTTCTAAAATATCAGTTTGAAGAACGACCCTGGCGTGGGTCGCTTATTTCCCGCATATTATAGATAGCCGGGGTTCTGACGATAATCGACGATAGACCGATATAAAAAAAAGTCGATAAAACATCAGAATAATTCGGACTATAGCTAGGTATACATCGTAGTACACAGTTTTCTAGCTTATCTAATATTAAGAACTTTTTTAGTATATCTTGCACTAAATACATGATAAAAACTTTACTGTATATATGTATATATACTGTTCTCGTTTTTAAGTATTGGATGCTGACCAAGGAGAGCGAGATATTTCGCGACTATGGTTGTTTCGACTATAATGATGAAGGACTTTTGATATATCCCTGTCACAAAAGTGGAGGAACCCAGTCCTGGCTACACAGGAGTGTAAGTTTAAAAGATATCCCCTCCAACAATGACGTCAACAGACCTCATTCCCCACAATGACGTCAACAGACCTCATTCCCCACAATGACGTCAACAGACCTCATTCCCCACAATGACATGGTCAGATATCATACCAAAGTTTACGTATTTTTAGCTCACCTGCCCGAAGGGCAAGTGAGCTTATGCCATGGCGCAGCGTCCGTCGTCCGTCCGTCCGTCAATTTTTGCTTTAAAACGCTACTTGTCCTGAACGGCCCAGTAGATTTTGACCAAATTTGGTCAGAAGCATCTTTGGGGCAGGGGGAACAAATGGTGGGTGTGGCCCCCCTTAGGGCTGAGGGGCGGGGCCCAATAGGGAAAATATAGCAAATTCTTTAAAATCCTTCTTCTTCTGTAGGAATGAAAGGATTTGTTCCATATTGGGTCAGAAGCATCCTTGGGGGAAGTGGAACAAACTTTATATAAACCGTGGGTCTGGCACCCCAGAGGCCTGGGGGGGGGGGGGCCCAATAGGAGAAACATAGCAAATTCTTTAAAATCCTTCTCATTCTGTAGGAATGAAAGGATTTGTTCCATATTTGGTCAGAAGCATCCTTGGGGGAATATGTACCAATTTTGTATAAACTCTGGGTCTGGCCCCCAGGGGCCTGAAGGGCGAGGCCGAATAGTGGAAACATAGCAAATTATTCTTTAAAATCCTTCTTCTTCTGTAGGAATGAAAATATTTGGTCCATATTTGGTGTGGGTCATCCTTGGGTAAAGGGGAACCAATTTTGTATAAACGGTGGGTGTGGCCCCCTTTGGGGCTAAGGGGCGGGGCCCAATAGGAGAAATATATCAAATTCTTCAAAATCCTTGTTCTTCTGTAGGAATGAAAGGATTTGTTCCATATTTGGTCTGAAGCAGCCTTGGGTTAAGAGGAACCAATTTTGTATAAACCGTGGGTCTGGCCCCCCAGGGGCCTTAGGGGCGGGCCAAATAGGGGAAACATAGCATTTTTTTTTTTAAATCCTTCTTATTCTGTCGGAATGAAAGGATTTGGTCCATATTTGGAGTGGAGTATCCTTGGGTAAAGGGGAACACATTTTGTATAAACGGTGGGTGTGGCGCCCCCTGGGACCTGATGGGCGGGCCCAATAGGGGAAATAAAGGTAAAACTTTTAAAATCCTTTTTCGACCATCGGGATTAAGGGATTTTATCCTAATTTGGTCTGGAGGATCCTATGGCCAAGGGAACTCAATTTTGTATAAGCAGTGGGTGTGGTCTCCAAGGGGGCAGAAGGACGGGGCCCAATATAATAAATAGAGGTAAATCTTTAAAATCCTTCTTCTACCATAGAGATGAAGAGATTTCTTCCCAATTTGGTCTGGATGATCTTGGGCAAAAGGGACTCAATTTTGTATAAACAGTGAGTGTAGCCCCCCTGGGGGCAGATTGGCAGGGCCCATTTGGGAAAACATAGCAAATTCTTCAAAAATCTTCTTCTTCTGTACGTATGACAGGATTTTGTCCAAATTTGGTATGAAGCATCCTTGGGTGAAGGGGAACCAATTTTGTATAAACGGTGTGTCTAACCCCCCTGGAAGCAGAGAGGCGGGGCCCAATAGGGGAATTATAGGTAAAACCTTTAAAATCCTCTAATCTACCATAGGGATTAAGGGATTTTATCCTAATTTAGTCTGGGGCATCCTTGGACCAAGGGGACTCAATTTTGTATAAGCAATGGTTGTGGTCTCCCAGGGGGCAGAAGGGCGGGGCCCAATAGGAGAAATAGAGGGAAAACCTTTAAAATCCTTCTTCGACCATCGGGATTAAGGGATTTTTTTCCTTATTTAGTCTGGAGCATCCTTGGGCCAAGGGGACTTTTTGTATAAACAGTGGGTATGACCCCCCTAGGGGCATGGGGGTGGGGCTCTGTTTGAAGTTTGTTCTTGCTATTTCTCAAGTACTAGATGGATCTTTCTGAAATTTCATATGTACTTACAGCACCTACCATTGAGTGTTATATCTTTACTTCATACAAATCATTTTAAACACATTCAGGTGAGCGATACAGGCCCTCTGGGCCTCTTTTTCTATTTTATAAGAAAGTTGACAAGATAAGAGGGCGATTCATTTGAATATTTGCTGGTAAGAAGGTTCAGTAAATACATGCATGTACATAATTATATATTTGAAGTAACGATCATTTTTTATGCTATATATATATGTGTGTGTATACAGAAGAAATGTTTATTTCAAATAAAAACACTAAAGATAAGGAGATGCCGCTAGGTTGATGTAGGTGTGTACACTGTTCAGTAAATGTATGCATTTTTTCTGTATAAAGGACAAAACTATCTACCATCCTGCCAGTAACCGATGTATCACTCTGTCGTACGACACCTCGCGCATTACCATGGAAATATGTACGGGAGAGGAGAACCAGCAATGGGAGTGGAACAAAGGGCAACACAGAGGACCGCGTCGTAATTAAACGTCAATTATCGTGTCTTGTCATACTGGAAGGGAGGTAACTCTGACGCAGATACTGTGGAGCGAAATACACTGCAACAGATCAACTTTATGAAGAAAAATGTGTAAGACTACTTTCGCTTTGGTGAATGCTCGATACATAATATAGTCAGTTTTATCAATTTCCTGTGTAGAGTTAGTATCAACAGGTTCCTGAGTACAGTAAGTATAATATCAACAGCATCAAAGTGTATGGTCTGTGTCTTCAGATTCCACATGTATGGCCGGTATAAGCAGTATCAAAGTGTATGGTCTGTGTCTTCAGGTTCCACATGTATGGCCGGTATCAGCAGTGTCAAAGTGTATGGTCTGTGTCTTCAGGTTCCGTGTGTATGGCCAGTATCAGCAGTACCTAAGTGTATGGTCTGTGTCTTCAGGTTCCACATATATGGCCGGTATCAGTAGTATCAAAGTGTATGGTCTGTGTCATCAGTCCCACTTGTCTGACCTGTATCAAAGTGTATGGTCTGTGTCTTCAGGTTCCACAGGTATGGCCGGTATCAGCAGTATCAAAGTGTAAGGTCTGTGTCTTCAGGTTTCAAATGTATGGCCGGTATCAGCAGTATAAAAGTGTATGGTCTGTGTCTTCAGATTCCACATGTATGTCCGGTATCAGCAGTATAAAAGTGTATGGTCTTTGTCCTCAGGTTCCGTGTGTATGACCGGTATCGGCAGTATCAAAGTGTATGGTCTGTGTCCTAAGGGTTCGTGTGTATGACCGGTATCAGCAGTATAAAAGTGTATGGTCTTTGTCCTCAGGTTCCGTGTGTATGACCGGTATCAACAGTATCAAAATGTATCGTATGTGTCTTCAGGTTCCGTGTGTATGGCCGGTATCAGCAGTATAAAAGTGTATGGTCTTTGTCTTCAGGTTCCGTGTGTATGACCGGTTTCAGCAGTATCAAAGTGTATGGTCTGAGTCCCCAGGTTTCGTGTGTATGACCGGTATCAGCAGTATAAAAGTGTATGGTCTGTGTCATCAGGTTCCACATGTATGGCCGGTATCGGCAGTATCAAAATGTATGGTCTGTGTCTTCAGGTTCCACATGTATGGCCGGTATCAGCAGTATCAAAGTGTATGGTCTGTGTCATCTGGTTCTGTGTGTATGGCCGGTATCAGCAGTATCAAAGTGTATGGTCTGTATCTTCAGGTTCCGTGTGTATGGCCGGTTTCAGCAATATCAAAGTGTATGGTCTGTGTCATCTGGTTCCGTGTGTATGGCCGGTATCAGCAGTATCAAAGTGCATGGTCTGTGTCTTCAGGTTCCACATGTAAGGCCGGTATAAGCTGTATCAATGTGTATGGTCTTTGTCCAAAGGTTTCGTGTGTATGACCGGTATCAGCAGTATAAAAGTGTATGGTCTTGTCATCAGGTTCTACATTTATGGCCGGTATCAGTAGTATCAAAGTGTATGGTCTGTGTCTTCAGGTTCCACATATATGACCGGTATCAGCAGTATCAAAGTGTATGGTCTGTGTCTTCAGGTTCGACATGTATGGCCGGTATCAGCAGTATAAAAGTGTAAGGTCTGTGTCATCAGGTTCCACATGTATGGCCGGTATCAGCAGTATCAAAGTGTATGGTCTGTGTCTTCCGGTTCCACATATATGACCGGTATCAGCAGTATCAAAGTGCATGGTCTGTGTCTTCAGGTTCCACATGTATGGCCGGTATAAGCAGTATTAAAGTGTATGTCTTTGTCCTCAGGTTTCGTGTGTATGACCGGTATCAGCATTATAAAAGTGTATGGTCTTGTCATCAGGTTCTACATGAATGGCCGGTATCAGTAGTATCAAAGTGTATGGTCTGTGTCTTCAGGTTCCACATTTATGGCCGGTATCAGCAGTATAAAAGTGTAAGGTCTGTGTCATCAGGTTCCGTTTATATGGCCGGTATCAGTAGTATCAAAGTTTAAGGTCTGTGTCATCAGGTTCCACATGTATGGCCAGTATCAGCAGTATCAAAGTGTATGGTTTTGTCATCCGGTTCCACATGTATGGCCGGTATCAGCAGTATCAAAGTGTAAGGTCTGTGTCATCAGGTTCCGTGTATATGGCCGGTATCAGTAGTATCAAAGTGTAAGGTCTGTGTCATCAGGTTCCACATGTATGGCCAGTATCAGCAATATCAAAGTGTATCGTCTGTGTCATCATGTTCCGTGTGTATGGCCGGTATCAGCAGTATCAAAGTGTAAGGTTTGTGTCATCAGGTTCTACATGTATGGCCGGTATCAGCAGTATAAAACTGTATGGTCTGTGTCATCAGGTTCCACATGTATGGCCGGTATCAGCAGTATAAAAGTGTATGATCTGTGTCTTCAGGTTCCACATATATGGCCGGTATCAGCAGTATCAAAGTGTAAGGTCTGTGTCATCAGGTTCCGTGTATATGGCCTGTATCAGTAGTATCAATCTGTGTCATCAGGTTCCGTTTATATGGCCGGTATCAGTAGTATCAAAGTTTACAAAGTGTATGGTCTGTGTCTTCAGTTTCCACATGTATGGCCGGGATAAGCAGTATCAAAGTGTATGGTCTGTGTCTTCAGGTTCCACATGTACTGTCGGTATAAGCAGTATGAAAGTGTATGGTCTGTGTACTCAGGTTCCATGTGTATGACCGGTATCAGCAATATAAAAGTGTATGGTCTTGTCATCAGGTTCTACATGTATGGCCGGTATCAGCAGTATAAAAGTGTATGGTCTGTGGCATCAGGTTCCAAATGTATGGCCGGTATCAGCAGTATCAAAGTGTATGGTCTGTGTCTTCAGGTTTCACATGTATGGCCGGTATAAACAGTATCAAAGTGTATGGTCTGTGTCTTCAGGTTCCACATGTATGGCCGGTATAAGCAGTATCAAAGTGTATGGTCTGTGTCTTCAGGTTCCACATGTGTGGCCGGTATAAGCAGTATCAAAGTGTAAAGTCTGTGTCTTCAGGTTCCGTGTATATGGCCGGTATAAGCAGTATCAAAGTGTATGGTCTGTGTCTTCAGGTTCCACGTGTATGGCCGGTATAAGCAGTATCAAAGTGTATGGTATGTGTCTTCAGGTTCCACATGTATGGCCGGTATAAGCAGTATCAAAGAGTATGGTCTTTGTCATCAGGTTCCGTGTGTATGACGTACCGGTATCAGCAGTATCAAAGTGTATGGTCTGTGTCATCTGGTTCCGTGTGTATTGCCGGTATAAGCCGTATCAAAGTGTATGGTCTGTGTCTTCAGGTTTCACATATATGGCCGGTATCAGCAGTATCAAAGTGTATGGTCTGTGTCATCAGGTTCCGTGTATATGGCCGGTATCAGTAGTATAAAAGTGTATGGTCTGTGTCATCAGGTACCACATGTATGGCCGGTATCAGCATTATCAAAGTGTATGGTCTATGTCTTCAGGTTCCACATATATGGCCGGTATCAGCAGTATCAAAGTGTATGGTCTGTGTCATCAGGTTCCGTGTGTATGACGTACCGGTATCAGCATTATAAAAGTGTATGGTCTGTGTCATCAGGTACCACATGTATGGCCGGTATCAGCATTATCAAAGTGTATGGTCTGTGTCTTCAGGTTCCACATATATGGCCGGTATCAGCAGTATCAAAGCGTATGGTCTGTGTCATCAGGTTCCGTGTGTATGACGTACCGGCATCAGCAGTATCAAAGTGTATGGTCTGTGTCATCAGGTTCCGTGTGTATGGCCGGTATCAGCAGTATCAAAGTGTAAGGGCTGTGTCCTCAGTCCCACATGTATGACCTGTATCGAAGTGTATGGTCAGTGTCCTCAGGTTCCACATGCATGACCGGCATCAACAGGTTTCAAGTGAAAGTTCGGTTTCAACAGATTCTGTATGAATAGGTGGTATTATCAGGTTCCGCGTGTATGGTCACACATACGGTAATATCATAAAAGAGTAAAATGCCATTAATGATGAAGTGTCTGTCAGTTGTTCGTTCACCTTACCGTTAATGTTACACCCTCCTTACACCAGAGACACGGCAGTCCTTTATACACTGTACAAATCGCTGTCTGTTAAAGTTGTTGTAATGTCTGTGTTTCCCGGAATAACAGAACAAACCATGCTGCTTTTATGGCGGGTATTTTAATAGTGACCACTTCTGTTGTACACAACATACTAACCAAATGACGGACATAATTTCCGGAATCATCGTGTTAATATATATATAGCTAATTTATAATGTAGAATATAACATCCCTCCATATTTTTATTTAGAATATAACGTTAGCTTTAGTATAAGTTGTACACAATCATTAGTTTTGAATTAAACAGCAATAAAACACATTTCACTGAGTTGGGTCTTTTGTATAAATCACAGTCCTGAAAGAGTTACTGAAACACTTGACTAGAACATGAATGGAATCAAATACTGGTTCATTGACTAGAATGTTTGACTAGACATATCGTTAAATGACACATACTCAAAAAGTTCACATTTAGCCATGTCCATAGCCCGCACAAACAAACACAAATAACAAGCCTGAACTATAAAACAGGTTTATGTAACCTGTGTACATTGAAGGGATTATTATGCCCTTGTTAGCGCCAATGTACTTTTAACTCTTTTTTATTTATAACTAATTTGCACCTATTGTTTTTTTTCCGTATTCTCTCTGATCTCCTATAGCTAGGATTCTGCGTACCTATCACTGTCTCTGTGGATGATGACTCTCTCTCAGGTATTGGTACTTCATATTCATCTTCCATGTCTCTAGAGTTGTCGAGATATGGAATGTCAAAACTTATCTTTTTGAACCTTGATGAATTCCTCGTTGTCCTTTTGTCGCCTCGTTCCGCAGTGATCATAGAGCCTTTTTTTCCAATTATTTGGTATGGGAATGGGTCATACTTTGGGGTTAGTTTCCCTTTGACTTCGGATTCTAGGATCACACTGTCTACTGGCCACAAATCGTTCCCAGAAGAGCGTGAAGCTCTATTCCTCTTATCCTCCAGAGACTTCATTTTATACTTCCCCATGTTGTCATTGCTGTGCAAAATTTCCTTCATCACCACGTTCTCAGGTCTACAATCTTTGTGCAGTGTATGTGACCTCGGGAAATTTTGTGTTTGGTTCTCGAGAGAACAAAAGCCTAAATGGAGGTAATCCAGTGGTGGTATGTGGTGTCGCTCTATATTGGCGGAGGAATTTCTGCATGTCTTGCTTCCAGTTTTTTTGTTCCAGGTGAGAGGCTTTCACGGTTTTCATCAACGGTTTATTAAATGCCTCTGCTTGAGCATTTGCCCTTGGCCAGCACGGAGTGATTTTTCTATGATCAAATCCTATGTTCTCTGCATACCTTGCGAACTGGCTCGAGTTAAATGGACTGCCATTGTCTGTTTTTATCACTTTAGGGATACCAAATGTGCTGATAACCTTGTCCAAGATAGGTATTGGGGTATTTGCAGATACACTTCTAACTGTCTCTACTACAGGGTATCTGGAGTACTCGTTCACAACTACGAATAGGTAATCTCCTGAAGGGTGAGGGCCACAGAAATCAGCACTCAGTCTTTCCCAGGGTCCTTAGGGCAGAGGGCTCATTTTAAGTGGTTCGCGAAGTTTTGTAGGGTTTGTTGTTGCTTGGCACGCGATGCATTTCCCAATGGCTTTTTCTACATCCTCATTGATGATTGGGAACCAAATTTTGGACCGAATAAAGGATTTGGTTTTGGTGATCCCCTGGTGTCCCTCATGAGCTATTTTGATAGCTCGGTCCCTTAATCCAATGGGCACCACTATCCTAGTTCCACGGAGCAGCACATTGTCTGTGTGAACTGTCAGTTCATCTCGAACACTTCTTAGAGTGATCAGCTCCATTAAATCAATATCGTCCCCGACGAGATCCTTTATAGTATACCATTGACCGTTCCTGGTCACTTCTATTGCCTTTAACA